CTACGTGCATCCGCCTCGAGGGGCTGCGGCCATTAGGCCTTCTTCCAGTTCCAGCTCAAGCTCGGCCGTCGCTTCGGGCCCGATCTGCCAGGCTTGTGGCCACCCCTTGGGCACCGGCAACAGGGCGTGCAGGTTTTGCCACAGCAACGGCCCGCCATCGCCAGGGCTCGGCTAGCTCAAATTTCGTCGCTCCAATCAGTGTGAGTGAAGTCTTCTGAACTCTGGGAGCCTTCTCTGCTTGCTCTGTTTTGACAAAGATGCTTGCTCTGTTTCGACAAAGATGTAGCCAAATGTGGACACTACATACTTGATTGTTTCCTTTGTCAGTCACATTCTAGAATGATACTCTTCATACTTGCTGTGGATGTCAGTGTGCAATCTCATTCGTTAATCTTTGGTTCCTGTCCTAATCTTTGGCTCCATTCCTACGCTTTGATTTTGCCTCAATTGTCTGGCTGGATCCCGTTTTCCTCTATAATATATCTTTCTGTCCTTGGTACTGGTATTATGCAAGTGCTGAAATTGACGATCGGTTCAAATCCTAACAGTACGTGATGGTCAATACATATAATAGGTCATTCGGTGATTATTTTCCTTTATATCTTTCTGTCCTTTGTCGTCTGTAAATGATCATTTGGGCAGAGAATAGGTTGATTCGTTAGTACGAAGTGCGGTAATATTTTGCTGTTTCCTGATGCTTTAGTGGTGCCTCATTTGTTTGACAATTTCAGTTTCTGTTAAACCGAATGAATGCTCAAAGTTTATGGGACTATGTGTCATGAGTTTGGTGATATAACATCACCCGGTATCTAGGTTTACATTTTTTTTTTAGAAAAGGAGGATGACCCCCGGCCTCTGCATCTGGGAGATGCATACGGCCACTTTATTGATTATTCTCGAGGACATTACAAAGTATTACAACAATATGCCTGAATCCGCCATCTTGGCAACATATGCCACTACTCCTATTCATATGATGAAGGGGTGCTACCTGGGCCACATACCCGGTCTACTCACCTAAACCTATCATCAAAAGCCAGAAGCTCCAGCCTAGCCACATACCGGGTCTGGGGCATAAACTGGTCTGACGCACTCACATGTGTCGTCGCCGCCATCTTTCACAGGTCCGTCTTCAGAGCAGATATTGAGGCTTCTACCTTGTCAGGCCACTCCGTCATCGACGCCACCTTGACGCCAAACAACTACCTCCACCTGCGCGAGTCCATCCCCGCGCATCGGGCGTCGAGTCTCCACTGCACCACGCCGCCGAGATTCGCCGTCATCAATGTGAAGGATGAAGTACCGCTCCACCAATAAGGCACCCGCTGGTCCCTCGATCCCGTGTACGCCTCCAAGAATGACGCCCCCAAGGAGGAAACGACACCAACGCGTCGCCGTCATCAGATCAACTGATCTAGGGTTTCCCCCGGAGGTAGCGGATAGAGGTCTAGAGCTTCTCCACGGCGATGCCTTCAAGAAGGTAATGACACCACAGGGTGCCACCAACGCCGGTCTTGGCAACAAGCCGAGCACAAGGTTTTCACCCGGATCCGCTCGAAGAACCTCCATCACGTATTGTGCGCACGGGTCGCCGCCGATCTGAGCCGCCGCACATCGAGCAAGCCGCACCGGGCAGATCGGATCTGTCCGGAGGGCAAACCACACATGGCGCCGACCCAACCACCAGGCCCTCCATACCGCCACCGCCGATCCGAGGACAGATGGTCCGCCGCTGCAGATCCGGCCACCACCGCCGAACGCAGCCAAGGCCACTGCCCGACGCAGGGCCGGCCGCCGCAACCGCCACCACCACCGCCCTAGGACGAGGCCGCCGCCGCCGGTCAAGGCAGGCCCGCCACGCCACGGAGGCCAGATCGGCCGTGCCACCTCACGCCGCGGAGCTCCGCACCGTCCCCATGGCGCGGGAGAGAGGAAAGGCCCCCGCCACCACCGTCAGCCCCCGGGCAAAAGGCCGGCGGCGTCCTTCGGCGGCGGCGGAGGGAGGGATGGAAGGAGGGGGAGCC